TTCACAAATTTGGAACTGCATACTCAATCTTACCTTTGACTTATAGGTTAGATACTAGATAATTGATGAGAGCCACCTGAAGTTCTTTTGTTTTTCTTTTTGGGCAAGATCCAAGGTGAAGCTTTTTCCATCCATCCCACATGAAGTTTTGCAAGACAAGGGAGGTCTGGCCTGCACCTCAATTCCATTTGACTTTTGGATGCAATTTTGCCCTCTCCATAATGACTGAGAATACCTTCTTCTGCAGAAAACTTTCTCATTAAGACACTACCTTCCTTATTTAGATACTACCTTCCTCTATATTGCTATTCCAAGATTCGTCATTTCCCATCAGTCCACAGAGACTGGGTGTGTGGTGATGGGGTGTTAAGAGGAAACCAAGTTTGATTAACACTGCTCTTTCATATTTTACACACCTTCTTCCAGACTTTCTCTTTTGAGTAGGTCAAGCTACCAATACATATCAATACCACTTCCATATTTTTCTCCGAGCTTAGTGGCACTAACAGTAAAAATCTGACCATTATTTGGGGACTGGTATTTTGAAAACACTCACTATCATGCTGACAAGTACCTTCCTCCCTTGCTATCTACTTTAAACTGGTAAACTAAGTTGGGAGCCTTTGTATTCTAAAAGTGACTACCATGTATCCTAGGATAAAACTAAGGTTTCTATGTGTTCTAAAACATGAAGAATAACCCAGGATGTTGCTACACAATAGAGCTCCTATTGCCAGAGTTCAGTAATTTGGACTTGCAGTTACAGAGTTTATGTCAAAAGTGAGGAGTGTGTCTTGTGCTCACTAGATCTCATATTATTTAATTTAAAAGAACTAGGCAATTTCCCCTCCCTCAGCACATAATGCAGATCATGCCTGAGAAGGATCTCAAGTAATGCTACAGCTGCTTAGCTCTTCCCTTCTACTAAATTCCGCATTCATTTCTGCTCTAGTCTGTATTTCTATTTTATAATGAAACATACAGCCTAGTTATTTATAGGTTTTCTAAGGATTAACTACACACTCATAAGAATAAACCCTCAAGAGGTTAACCTCATCCTCTTAAGCTTCACACACTACAATCCCAGAGATAGCTGGCAACCACAGCCAAGAGAGAAAAAATAATCCCACATCTTGCTAATCCTTTAGCCAATCACCTCATGCAACAGTGGAGAGGCCTCTTGGAGGCCAACAACTCAATCTCAGGAGAACTGTCAGTCAAAAAGATACATATTTCACTAAATCATTAGCAACCCACCTCAACAGGAAAAAGAAGTCAAACCTGGCTTCTCAATCGTACGCTGAAATCATGCATCAAAAATACAGTGCTGGAGAAAGTTTCCTGTTTGCTGTTTGTATTTCTCATTCAGATATTTGCATATTCTACTTATAAAACTAATTTATTGATTGGAAAGTAAATCTAATCTTCCACTGTTCAAACCTAGACATACCGATTTAACTGTCACTTATACTCCCTAACATAAACCTATTCTTTTCTAGACATATCTCAAGAAAACAACCCCACAAAAAAAAAAAAAAAACATAAAAAACCAACAAGCAAATAATGAAACAAAACACAAAAAAACCCAAACCACCCACAAAAAAGCCAAAACAAGCCTTCAAGTTACACCATAATAGTCTACCTAATTCTTTCATACCATGATCTAGATTCCTCCTTAACTGCAGAAGTGGACACTGCCTGAGCTCCAGCAAGGCCAAGAAGATAATAAGGGCACTTAACCTTTTAGTTAGGGTTTCTGCTTTGTTCATTATTTATCTATCAAAACTGCTACTTCATCCTAGTCTATTATAATAAATATTAAATGGTGCTATTAAAAAAAAAAAAATTGAAAAGAGATTGTTTAGCCACACTGCTAACCCATGGCTGATAGTAAAAGGCTTCAAGAACACGTAGGATGAATCTAAGGCCAGGAGTAAGACTGTTAATAATCAAATATCATTCAGGGTTTTCTCCTGAAGTAAGAATTTTTAATCAACAGAGAGGATTAGCATTGCTTGCAAGCTCACTGAGTCCAACTATATTATTTTCTTTTTAACAAGTGTCAATTTATTCATTCTGTTTTGAACATGTTTAATATACACCTATTCCAAAGCCTGGCTTTTGATTTTGTAGTCAAATTTTCTGAAAAATCCCGGTCCTGTGAGACTATAAATCCCTATCCTCATAGTCTGTCCTCAATTAGGCTTCCCTGTTTTCAACTGGAAATAAAAAGTATAAAATAAATATAGTTCAAAATAATTTTGTATTTCAAAACATTTTTCCCAGTAATTTAAAAGCCTTTCTTCTCTTCCAGAATTCACACATTGCACTGGAGTAACATGAATATCTCTAACTAAAGGAAGCCAATTGGGAAACTCTTGAATCATCTGGTTTCAGGAAACAATGGCCTTTAAGGACGGAAAGGAAGAAGGGGAGAAAAAGACAAATCCTGGCAAAAATACCGTATTTTCTCAAGAGAAACCAGGCAAGTTAGCACCAGCTAGCAAAATGAAATTTCCCTCCTAGCCTCAAGAATTATCATACACATGCATTTTAGGTAGTGTGACACCAGAAGCCCCCCAACTGCATCTTCTACTGTTAAAGATTGGTCCAGCCTATTTGAATCCTGAAAAGAAGTTTGATGACCTTTCATGCTCATAATAGGTGTCTAAACCGTTAAATTACTATATTTTTTCTTATCTTGAAAGCCACTGCACTTTAGCAGCATGGCCCTTCCATTGTTCTTTACACTAAGTTGGGCCCCTGAATAATACTGACAGCTGCTATCAAACTACGCCGTGCTCACCCTCCATGCAGCTGCCGCTTGTAGGAACAGACAGGCATCTGATGTGTCCTCCCCTCTGGGGAGAGGGCTTGACACCCTGAGTGCTCAGTGAGGGGAGCAAAGGTACAGTGAACTGTCAGCCGGATTTTATGCTATTCAGATTTTCCAGGACATACACCATCCCTTTCAAACAAAACCAAGCATATGTCAAAGCATGAAACTTCCTGTGTGGCACAAGGTAACTACTGATTAATAAGACTGTAAAAGATCACTGGGATATACATCTAATTTTGACACTATGTAAATGCGTGCATCTACATGGTCAAACAAATTTTGTGCCCAATGTGTTAATTTCCTCACTCACAGTTCTGGATTGGTATGGCATCATTCAGGAGTCTTTCATAAGACACAGGAAAGTATTTCTTCAGGTAAATCTTAGATGATTATAAAACAAAAACGTTAGAGCCTACTATTCATGCTTCCAAAGAGCTTCCCTCCCTGCTCCCCCAAAAATCCCAAAGTTCTTAATTGCATATGGTACTTGTAGATCCTATGGCTTTTAAGACTGTATTGTGTAGACATTAAAAACAAGTACATTACATGCTTGAGATAGCAAAATTTAGTTTGTCTAAGCAGCACTATTTTAAGGCAAGAAAGAATCTTTTAAATATGTTTTAATATGTTTACTTTTACTGCATATACTCTTCTTTAAAACTAGTTCATAATGAAGGGTTTTCCATTCCATTTTCATCCTTAAGAAGCAATTTGTTTTAAAAAATGTAAGAAAGTATGGCACTCTAATCTTTGCTAATCAAATACCACAAATGTACATGTGGTATTTCAAAGATCAAATCAGGTATTCATAAACTAATTCATTACACAAGTAAAGCAAAGAGGAGATTCTGACAAATACAGATGTAATTGTGTGGGTTTCTAAGATGTGATTAGCAAATCAACTAAGTAACAGTCAAAATTTGATACGAAGGAAAAACAGCACAGATTTGAAGGGGGGGTATGTTTATGCAAAGCTAATCTGTCAAGTGTAATAAAGCAGCTTGAATAAAATTTAAGCTGAAAATCCACTGAAGCTCCCCATTTCAGGGAGGAAAAGCTATTAAAAGGAAATGAAGGTCACCCTCCCAGTTTATTTCACCTAATTGACTGCCAATAGCTTACCACAGGCAAACCGACTGCAGATCTGCAATTGAGAAACTGATGAAAGGAGCATTTTCAAGCTGAGGCTCATTCTTTTAATCCTCCCTCTCTCCTATTTTTTTTTTTCCATCTCCAGTTGGGATGTAATTTTAAGCACAGATGGATTAACTGGTTCCATTGTCTGTAGACGTCATTGGACTATGGCACTGTTAATCCGTACAGCAGCATGTCTAATTATCATTACAAAGTGTCTGAGGGAACTATAAAGACCAGCAGGGCATCTTCTCACAAGCAATTAACATAAATTGATAAATGAGTAATTTGAATCCACTCAAGGCGCTCACATAAGAATAAAATCAGAAAGGACAGGTTCTTGTTTCAGCTACTTCTTTCACTTAGTCAGAAGGGCAGAAAACATGAGAAATATTCTAGACTTAGTGGCAGGGGAAATGAACTCATACAGTGGAAGGAATGTATGGTTCAAAAAGTTCATTAATACAAAGCAAATGACTTGTGATTGACAACCAGTCACAAGCAAGTAGTATTAACTTTTTTAGCATATTTAAAAGCACATTCTTGGTGAAAGGCTATTAGAACACAGTGTCAGACAATTAATACTACTTCAAGAGCAAGTGAAGTTTCTATTCAGTAGCTTGCTAATTTAAAATTCATGAAAGATTCACAAGAAAGGAAAAGAAAGAAGAATGAATAGTTGTATAAGCTCCAAGAACTCAAGTATCACAAAAAGCATGAGGTAAAAGTATCTAGCTCAACTGACATAAAATACCCATAAATAAACAAGCAACTCTCCTAAAACTATATTTCTTGCAGGAAAAGTTTTGTTACATGCAGCACCACTGGCCAAAATTATATTCTGACAAAGTAAACTACTATCTTTATCTCTGCTAAAATCTGTGTGAAGCAAAAACACTTCAGCAACACTGGGCATCAAAACAGTGCTAGATATCAAAACATTAAGTTTATTTTAAAATTAGCAAAGCAGTAAGATATGAAAGCAAGTTATACACACTGTAGGAGGTAGACCTGGAAGGCCACGTACCCCGATGATGGCATTCAATTCAGCCATGGTCACTTGTTTGGCACGTTCTACAGCTTGGGCCACTTGTTGCTGATGCTGTTGAAAGAAGAAAGGGTAAAAAGAGGAATTTGTGTTAAGGTATTACCACACCATATCAAACCAGGATCACAAATACTTGAATAACCCGTTTGTCTGCAGAAGCCCACACTACCCATTGCAAGACATCTCATGCAGGTAAAAAGGCAACAGCGCCCTTGTTTTCACCTGTTCAAAAGGAAAGAAGAGACCTGAAGGCAGCCAGCTTATCTCTTCCCCTAGGTCCCTTCATTATTAGTTGTGTGGCAAATGAATAATCAATTTTTAATTGAACTTACATGACAATGTCCACTTTACATTAGTTTCAATTTTAATATTTATAGACTCTGTGCCCCCATAGCAAAACCAACTGAAATTTCAAATAAGGAAAACTGACCACTGAAATCAATAATTTTAAACACTCTTTGTACAAATGTAGAGTTTGAAAATAACAAGCTTCAAAATGTAACAGCAGCTCCCCACAACATGCTAAAAATCAGTCGTTCAGACTATGTAGGTCTACAAACTTTAATAGTGTTTTGCATATGAGCCAAACACTCACTTTTGATATAAATTATGTAGAGAACATAAGCATGCTTATTTCACTAGATCTACACTTGACAACTGAATAGCTAATAAACAATCACCATTATTAGAAACAAAAGTATTTTTTGTATTGCTACTATTTTACAGACTCTGACTCTTCTCAGGCAATGAATGAGGCTGAGCCATTGTCACTAGTTTGAACTCAAATTTGTAAGATCAAATTAGCAGGGGGTTTGCACACTTCAGCTATAACAGATGCTCCTTACACTTGTGTATTGTGATAAAATTAACATCTTAAAACTAGCTAATTTGCAAACAGAAAAACAACATAATCACAATTTAATAGCTGAACAGTTTTACTTACTTCCTGAGACAAAAATGGGATGACTTGTGCACAAATTGTATTCAATCTCTTCGCGATTTCTGTCTAAAGAGTAGAAGTATTTTGATTAAAAACTGCATTTTAGGGGGTTTGACATATTAACTAGTATACAGGCTTATATTAACTTTAGACAGTGAAGAAAGTAACAAAATATTACCCATTTTTCATACTACTGCAAATATAAATACTTAATATACAAGCCCAGTAGTGGAAAGAGATTTTGTTAGCTACTCTAGGACATCTGCCATGTCTAAAGCACCTAATCTGTACACACATTTAGGCACAAATCTGGTCCTTATATGTATATAGTTCATTAATAAGCAGAGCATTTTTGAAATCCATTAACTCCAAGAAAAAGCCTTTTAAAAGGTAGATTTATTATTACTCAAATTACAAGCAGTGTAACATGAAGGTAGCAGGAGTAGAAGAAAAATGCGACTTTCATGATCAATTTTATCTGCCTATTAGAAGGCAAAATGATAGAAATGTACCATCGGGAATACAAAAGAAACACTAAAACAGAAGTGACAAAGAATGGAGACAAAAAGTACAGACTCCTAAAATCCATATTGAAAGAGAATTAAAATAATGCAAACAAGAAAAAAAAAACATCAGAAAATGTGACAGTCTATAACAGCAAATTTGTGAAATCATGAACAACAGGAGAACAAGGTTAGGAGCCAGTAAAGAACAGAACAATCCTTCAGGGAAATCAACAGAGATTACAGCAGGACAAAGAGTTTGAGTCCCACTTTACAACAGTTTTATATATCTTGTACTTCTGTATCTCCGATTTTGTCATGTCAAACCTGGATTCCTGGTGGAGTAAAGGGATCTTTTTCTCTCATTACTCAGTGTTATCTGTGTTTACAGCCTTTCAGAACCATACATCTGCCCATAATTCAGAACCCCTATTATAATTAACCCTCAAGTCAACTATACAATTTCCTCAGTGTTCCTTAAAAACAGCAATTTTAGTTGCTGTAGCGCAGTCGAACATAACCAGAATCAGCACCTAGACAAGAACATAGCTTATGTAAAAGACACTGAACAGCTCCTATCCATCTCTGTCATACAATCAAGCCATAAAGATATTTCTTGGTTAGTTGGGGTTTTTTTAATGTTTCAAGACAGAAGAAACAAGCAGTCAATACTGTAAATCATTAGGCCTTTTATGAAATGACACGTATTAAATCTGAGCAAAGATAAACTCACTTAAGTCAGACTAAAATTGTTAACTCTCTGCCAGGCCTTTTCCTGAACCTTCCTACAATTCTGATTTTATTTAAGAAGACATTGTGGTATGTTGATCTTTATACATCAGTTACATAATAATTGGGATACAAAAATCAACCCTCTAGTTTTATGTCTCAGGAGACAGGTGATTTGGGATCTAAGCATAATTAACAAGCTTTAACACCTTCTTCCAAATGTATGACAGACACGGGAAAATATATGATGGCATCTAGAACTGTAAAACACCTCATCTCTCTTGACATGAAGCCCTCCACCTGACCGAAGCCTGGTATTTGACACACCCAAAACTATAGTTTTGCAGAAGCTTCCAAAGAAGTTATGGGATCATTTCTTCCTAGGATTAAAAGGGCAATGAAGTGGCAGTTGCTTTACAGGAAATCTTTGCCCCCTGCAACAAGGTGAACATATCTCTATTCTCAACTGAAACATCTATTATTTCACAGAGTACCACAGTGGTCTTTTCCATTCTGTCTGGGCCACAACCATAAAACATCTATAATTTTATGTTTGGCTTTTAGTACTTGTACTACATACATAATAGCAAAGTCAATACTTCGAAGTTACCAGCTTAACTATTACTGCTTAGGCATAACTATTACCAAATCTGTTTGTATTTTTCTGTTAAAGGGAAAAAAACCCAAACACATGTACTAATGAGCATTTTTCCACATACCTAGTATATCTCCCCAGAAAGCAGGGTACATCAGCTGTGGAAAGGTAGTCTGTTGCATAGCAATCTGTTTGGATGATGTTTAGCTAAGATGTTTAGGATCCAATGACTTAATTGCCCTAGACCAGTGGGATTAACTTTGTTTTTTTAGGCAGGAATAAATACAAACCATAGCAGGTGACAAGAGGGGATAGAGAAAGAATAAAATAAACTCACTCAGTGTCTACTGCAAAGTTCTTTGGCATGTATGGGCTACACAAAAGTCTCCCTATTATGAGTTAAAATGCTTATTGTTGCTATAAGGAAACAAAATGCAATCCTATTTTTAGCAGAGCCTGTAAAACATGCAAGTTGTATTATTGGATTTTTCTGCCCCAAATCCAAATATCTGAGGTACACTGTAATAACAAAGCATACATGCCATCAAAAAGTATGATAAAAATACAGTATCATGTGCATCAGGTTATAATTGCCTTCCAATGAAGGTCAGTTAGATATTTATTTTCTAAAAGTGAGGGCATAATCAACTTTCCCCCTTTCCACACCAATCTTCTGTTACTGTCTCAGTATTATCACACCTGATTTAATGTCAGAACAGAAAAAAACAGTGTATTCTTCTTAGTATTAGTTTATCTTTACTAAAGCTGGGTATCATTGATGACCACATATGAACAGCAACCTTAATTCAACAGCAATGCTAGATAAACTTAAACGTACATGCCATAACGTAAGTTTATCTTGAGATTTCTTGCTGTTGTTACAAGTGCCAGTTAAGAGACATCTACACTGAAAACTGAAATTACTATTCTATTAATCATAAAAAGGTCTGCTTCCATTTAAAAGGCAATTTGTCTAAGAGAGTTTTCACACACATTTTAAGACTTAAAATTATTTATCTACTGTGCAATTTCATGCACCTCCTGTTTTCTGCCCTCTAATATTAAGTAAAAAACATTCATGCACAAACATGTTAAAAAATATTTTTGTTGTCTAGCAATTTGTCAAAGTTAAGTTTTAATGAACAATTTATGTAATTTTACTTATTGAGTTGCAAGAGGTTGTTTTCAGAACTGAGAAAAAAGGGACATTTGTTACTTTAAATGTAAATGCAACAGTTCAATAGACAATGCAAGTTTGCTTTTTAAGGTGAAATACCCTTGAGTATGCGTGTGCGTGTGCCTGTGAGTGTGTACACATTCAATCTGGAAAGCAAAACCCCTTTCCGAAAGAGTCAAGGATAGTTTCGCTAATCAAGACTAGACATCAGTAACTGGTGTCATTAAAGTAAACCCCCAGACCTGGGGCTCACAAATTTTAAAGTCTTAAAATAAAGGCACTTATCTCTTGTTTCTAGAGGCCTTCAAATATAACATAACTATTACCTAACTGCTAATCTTCAGACATATAAAGAGGTTCTAAGGATGAATAAACAAAGGAAACTTTGCAGAAAGCTGCTCAAACATAGACAAATATGACTAATTGCTCATGTTCTGTGGCTCCTTGGTAAAGCAGGCTACAGAAGCCTGCATCTCTTATGAAAGTCCTCTGAGCTCTACGGCAGCTCTTAGCAAAGCATCTGAAGTGCCCTTAATTGTTTGTGTTCTTAATGCAGAGCCTCTTGAATACATTCATTTTTAATAGAGAACTTGAGTGTGAGGCCCATCAAAGAATAACAAAACTACATCATTCACTGGTTCTTGCTGCTGTAATGACTGTCTTTTGATTTATTTGCAAATGACTAGCTAGTCAGACCCCTGACTGAAGTGCTACCCTCCTTTCTGAAGTATCATTAAAAATTAACATGAAGGAATTCAGCTGCATTTTGTAAAATTAAGTTGAGCTGATGGGGTTTTTCTCTTCATTTGTGTAATTTTTTTTGCCTCTGTTCCATTTAGTTAAGGACTTAAATGTTTTGACCTAACCATTGCCAAACTCAAGTGTTTGTACTTAAGTTTGTCTTGCACACTTGTTAAAGTGAATTCTTAACATAATGACAAAGAACAAAGCAGCCAGACTAGTTACTAAATATAACACTCATTTAAATAAGGCTTTTTACTACGGACTTATGCTGGTTTGGAGAATTGAATTCTGTTTTCCTTCTGCATTGTTAGAAAAAATATTGACCTGTTTTCCTTTACAGGGGTCTGTTCCAGATAATTTTACATTTTGAGAGCCTGTACTTTCCAAAGTGTCACGTAAAGGATCACACCTAAATTCCCATAGTTTCATGAAAAGGACAGATTTTTGCAATGAAATTAAAAGGAAGCATAATAAAAGTATTCAAGTTCTATTTCACAGCATAACGAACACCCATGTGTATTTCAGCTCTAATGTAAGAAGCACTAGTTTATGGGAACCAGCAGTTTAACTTCTGAGTGAAGAACACAGACTTTCTCTGATGAGAATTAGTTAATCCCCTTTCAGCTTCAGAGGTTTCATCAGGAGTAATTTTGAGTTTGCTCCAACCACTGTTTACCAATACATATCCCAGTACTAACTTCAGCTATAGGATCCATGGTGATTTAAGACAAAAATTAAATCTTACAACACATTAGTTTTAGCAATCATTGTGCTGAAACATCTGCTCCATTATTATTGCTGAGATTCGTCAAAGCAGTCCAGATTCTATTTTACAAAACAATGCTTAGCTAAAAATGTTCATTTTATGTTAAGAAATTAAGAAGCTTGTTATTCTTTCTTACACTGAACTTCCAGTATCACAAAGTTAGATCAGATCTAAAGCACTGTTCTATCACCAGTTCTGAAGCATGGATTTATGTATTCTTATTTAGTACATTTTTATTTATGCTATTATTTTGATCCAATTTTGAAAATCATATTTGTAATAAATTCAGAAAAATACAGCTTAGGCACAACATGATTAAAAGTAAAGCAAAAACCACCAATCTTCTGATAATACCAAAGAAGCATGCCCTAATTAATTGCCTTCAAGCCAAATAATCAGAGAATGAGCCTTTAATGCATGGAAAGGAATATACTGTTAAAACGCATTCACAAAAGCTTTAGAAGGTAATTCTTAAGCACTCTGCCTCTGCTTACACTTTCAAGACTTAGAAAGCCAAGTACAATACTGAACTCCTTCTGGAAGGACAAAATG